GTATTACTTGTCTGTGATTTTTTTTAAACCTCAATAACTCAGTCAATTTACATGATGAAGGTTAATGGGAGTTGGTGGTTAAGTCCATGTGGGATTTCATCAAGTCTGAATGTCAATACACCACAGGGTAAGTGGCACATTCCAAACCTAGGATTGACAGGGTAACAGTTTTGAGATGTGTCCAGAGCCTGTCCAGGAGGAACAAAAAAAGGCTCCCATCATGTACAGTCATTTAAGAAGAGCTTGCCCCAAATTCCCCGCCAATTCGCTTGAGTTTTGCGGGCAATTTGGGGCAAGCTTTTCTTAAATGACTGTAGCAGTCACCAAAAAGTAAGCTGTATTGAAGAGTGCTTGATCCATTGATTGACAGCTCAGCCAAGCAAAGAACGACAAAGTGGAACACATCACATCACAACTAGATGCTTGAACTTGGCTCAAGGTGTTTTATCATCAAAGTCTTGACCAACCTTCATACCATCTTTGACTATGATCTTTGCTTGTTTTGAACTTGCAAAACCCGTTGAAAGTGACTGATTATCACAAGGTTCTCCACAGTTTTGTTACTGGGACCACTCTGTCTTGGTTCTTCCAGAATCATTCAAGGCCAAGGAAGTTTACCCCCTGGTGTAGACTACATCTTTTTGGTGGGGAAATACAGGAACAGTTTTGTACAGTTTTATGATGTCATATGCCATCATCTCAATTTTGATGGTATCCCAACCACTCCTCAACAAAGTCTCAATAAAGGGATGATATCCACTCAATATCCATTGCATCATTGTAAACATTATACATTATCCCCAAGTGAGAATGGGAAAATGATCAAGATTGTAGTTTGTCATGGAAATATGTATCACTGCACACCTGAGCCATAGCACCCACACTACATGTTTGCAGTAGGATGGAAAAATTGGAAGCTTTCATGTACAGTCCCCTCCAAGTGATTTACATAATCATTCAAGTTTTGCAGCGGTGGGGCCAGGGTTTGTCCCAAACCCAATGATTACAATTCCTAGGCGTGGGGACGTGTACATACAAAGCTGCTCAGCTATTGGCTCCTCTGAATGAGTAGATCATCTGTAATACCTTATGTATTTTTTTTGGTGTGACAAAAGTGTTCCAAAAATTGACTACATACACTGACTCATAGGTTTGGTGTAATTCCATTAACTAAACTTCATGTAACACTCTTTCTGTTACTGTTGCATGAATATCAGAGTATTGCCTGAGCAGCTATGGAGGTATATGTAGTCAATTCTTAGGACAATTTTGCCAAACTGGGAAAGGTTACACAATGTATCACATGTGATTTACTTCTTCAGATGAGCAGGGAACTGAGCCAAACTGTATGTACATGATAGCTATCAGTTTACTCAACTTGTTGCACATATGTAGTGTGGGTGTTAATTCATGGCTCAGGTGTGCAGTGATAGATCTTTTTATGGCAAACTACAATAATCATCATTTCACCAGTTTCACTTGGGGATAATGTATAATGTTTACAGTGCATAACTTTCTTGTAACTTAATAAGGTCAGTGGGGTGCGCTGGCCTGCCAGTGACTTGTGATGGGGACTGTGCATGGAGCTTATGAATTGGGGAAAGTATGTAAGGTTTCTATCATCATCATGTGCACCAGTTTGCTGACAATCTAGTTATTCCTGATTTGACATGATTTGGTCACAGTCTCAGGTTTTTATCAACCTCACTTCTGGGGTTGAATGTCCACGTCAGTTTCCAGACCAATTGGATGTCCAAGCAGTTAGTCCAAAGGGACCAATTAGGGAAGGTGTATTTGGGTGGCCTTCTTTTGAATGTCACCTATCAGTTTTTTCATCATGGCTATCTTCTCACAACTTTGATGTGCAGTGAGGTACTCCACCACTGGATTCAAATTCAAATTACATGGATGTGAGGGCTTGAAGAAAGTCACCACCTTGCCCACTTCACTCCCTTTCTCCAACAAGTTACCAGCACTGATTTGACCTATCACGAGTGCAACCTTCTGGTCCAACAGGTGGCCGACTTCTCATCAGCTCAAAAAAAGGGATTTATACTGGCCTACATGGAAGTGTTTGAAGAAAACAATCCTGCTAAACAACACTGGGTAAGCAACACTGCGCACCACAACAGGCCAATCCAGCGCAGCGTAGCTCTTTGAAAAAAATGGAAAATTTGGAGGACCGGTAGCGCAACACCCACAAGAGGAAAAAAGGAACACTACAGCTGACAGCAGCATTCCAGGGTGCTGCGCAACCGGCGCAACACGCAACACAACATGCAAAATTGAGTGCAAGCAAGAAAAAAATTCATTGGATCAAAAAAACAATTATCAACAATTGTTAGAATCATCATTTATATACTGTGGTTGTGTTTGAGCAATTTTAAATCAACTTCTCTCAAGAACTCATCACTTTACCTACTTCACCTGTTGTGATCATTCTCAATAAGAAGCAAGAAAAATGTCAATTGATACAGAGATGGATCACCTTCAAAGTAAAAATCAGTTAGCCGCATTCTCTCTTTTGAACTGATTGTTCTTTACATGACAGCCACACACAAAGCTTTCCATTTCATCAATAAGGAGAAGAGGGTTGATATCAAATTCTTAACATTCCCGTGTAAAAACCTGAACAGTACATCTGTTTGCCCGTGCCATACAAACCTTATGCGTTAAGGATTCTGATTGCAGCGGGAGCACACAGTTTGAAAGCTGTGAGTCTCTTTACCAATTTCCCATGGGATCAAAGCAAATTTGATTGATCAAAATTTCACAAAAAACCTCTACCTTCCAATACATCTAAACCTATTCAATTTGATTTACCAATCACTAAAGCTGGAGTGTTTGAATTATATTTTGAATATGATGACAGCAGCGATTCTCATCAAAAAAGAAGAGTCAAAAGCTGATCAGGTTACTTCAATGTTGATCTGATCCTTTCAGTCGCGAGCAGGAAATCCATACCCAAGACAAGCCAGGATCACTCAGTTCAAGTACTACCCTTTGGCAAAACTGGCGAGACAATTGATAGGAACGCTCCTCTAGTCAACTCACCTGTGTGTTACTTTGTGCACCGAGTATATCCGAAGATACGGTACCTTCTATCAACCGAGGGGGTCCGAAAGCTGGCTGTAGAACTCTCTAGATCTCATAGAACGTTCTACTGGTAATTTTCGAAATTCTCTAAGTCCCACTTTTGATATACCCCACTTCTCACCAAACTCACCAACTAATCTCACCATATACATACAAATCTCACCATCAAAAAAAAATCTCACCATCACAAATAAATCTCACCATCTAAAACAAATCTCACCAACTAATCTCACCATATACGTACAAATCTCACCATTGATAACAAATCTCATCAAACTCACCAACTAATCTCACCATTCAAGATAAATCTCACCACTCAAGACGAACCTCACCATTGATAACAAATCTCACCAAAGTCACCAACTCATCTCACCATCTCAAAATCTTACAACTCACCAAATTCTCACCATTTGAGTATTTGACAAAATCCCCGTATTCTCACCAAATCACCAAATCCCACATCCCATAATCGTTTGTCCCCCATTCTCACCATTATCCTGGACATTCAACTGTTATAAACTGAACCCACACCACACTCCACTCATCATATCCTGATACTATCATCTAGACCATACACATCATCTTGTGATACTATCAACTACACCATGGTACGCAACACTCAATCTGGGACCAATACCTGTGGACGTGGTGGCAGAGGTAGAAGCCGGCAGCCCCATCTCAACGGGTCTCATGGCTCAGACTCTGACTCTGACCAGGATGGATCCGATTATCAAGCACCACTGAATGAGGATGAGGATGATGAAGACCAAGTAAATGAAGACAAAGACAGGGTAAATACCAACCAAGATAACCTTCGAGACCTTGCCAACATGCGATCTCAACCCCCAGCTTGCAAGCGTTCCAAACCCAACCAAGGAGTTGAGAAACCAACTCTTCAGAACTACCGTGAGCTTGGAAGTGACTGGGGGAAATCTAAAGCAGAAACCATTCTTGCCGCCCAACCTCGAACAAACAACCGACTCTCACCAAACGGTCTACTTGAGGCCCAAGCTTTACAGTCCAAATACGACCTTGACAAGACCATGCTGGCACTGGCACTTGGCTGTAGCCGTTCTAATCTAGATGAAGCTATGTGAGCTCAAACCCCTCCAGCAAACAATCAACCTACAGTTGCTGAACCCCCGTTTTTTCTCCTCAGATTTGAAGGGCCTTTGGGCCAAGAGCCACATGGCTATACCAACTACCAGACTTATAGCAACACCGCAACCAAGACTAACAGTCAGTGATATCTTTATTAATATTAACTAGCTCTTACCCAATAGTAACCCAATACACCTACAGTGCCGCCAAAAGGAACGTCAAGAGGTTTTGGTAATCGAAATGTGATTGTGGGAAACACCTGGAGCGACTATACAAAAGATCAGAAGACAGTATTCAGTCCGATATATTTTGAGCGTTTGAGCAAAGCCTGCCTACCTACCAGTACTTCCACTCAAATCAACACTAACAACCAGCCGGACCACCAATCAGCTGTCCCACCTGAAGATCCTCTCACTGACGAAGAACTAGAAAAGTATGTACCGATCTTCAAAGAACTTGCCAATCTTACATCAATCGCTCGCGACTTCAAGCATGGCTATCTCAGTCGACACTCAGCAAAACAATGGTCACGCGAGGAACTTATGAAGGCTGAGGTAAAAAAGGTTGTCAAACAGGTTGGATCGTCTCTCTCTACTCACAGCTTGTCTCAGTTGATTCATCAGATAACTGAATCTTAGTCTAAATCCGCAGCTCCAAACTATGACTCAGCAATTCAAGCTGCAGTTTCATTTGTTCCTTGGATGTTGGAATCCTAATAACAAGGGACCGCGGGCCTTGTATGAAGACGAGTACATGTCATGCGAACAATGGGCTGTCAGTCAACGAAAAGAACAGCGACTTCTAGAGTGCTTTGTTCACACAGCAACCCACGCCCCATTATCAGTGAGAACTAGGGTTAACAACACCCAGACACTATCTGCTGCAGCCATTGCTCAACAAAATTTGCGAAGCCAGCTGAGTGAACAGTTGAATTCTTTAGTCCGTAAGCACACCATTTTTTCCAATCCATGTACACTGTAGCTGAATTTTTTTTGGTGTGTGAATTTGCCAGACGCCCACCTTGTTGGTCCCTTCACTGTTGGGGATTCTCATCCCAAAGTTCCGAATCCTCACCTAGCACTGGCCAAGAAGAAGTTCAGGGGAAATGTCAAGCTGGCAGTACAACTTTCCCCTGACTGCAAGATCGATGCCACCCTTCTTGCGAAAGGGGCCACTGCTGGTGCTCTCAAAAACCACGAAATTCAAATGTGGTTGGACGATATACAGACTGGAAGGTACCAAGTTGTCAAAACTAATACACCTTTATCTGACCCGAACCCAATTTAGATAATTTCATTCTATCACAAGAACATGTTATACACTTTGAAACCCAAACAAAGCGCTCCAAATATATGTCTAACTTCATCAATCATTGATGTTAACCTGTCTAGACTGCTTTCACTTTTTGTTATTGCTTGAGGATTATATTAGTGAATTTCATCTTTTGCCCGAAACGAAGATCATCACTAGCCATTGAATTGGAAATACAAGTTGATTACCAAAAGTTTTGAAAAGTGTTCAGGCGTGCTTGAGTAGACCCCAAAAACAAAATGAGTCCCAGGATACATTAATGTGAGTGTACAAAAAGCATCTACAGTGTACACCCAAGATCCAAACATCGTTCCCATAGAAGGGCGCCTGTTGATTGACGTCTGTCCATCTGCGACTTCCAGGCGTCGAGACGTCATGAAGGCGCAGCCGGGGCGGCTTTAAGGCGCAGCTAGGGCGGTGTCAAGGTGCAGTGGGCGCAAAATCTCCAGCGAGTAGGTTAGGTTGATGTTAGCATGCGATATACCTAATATAAACCTAACTCCTGGCTCCAGACCCGACCACACCATCCTCACGGTTCCAATATGCCCGACCACACCACCTACACGGTTCCATACCCGACCACCCACCCCAAGAGGTGCATTATGCACCTTAAACCCCTCGCCTCCTCCGAACGATCTAGAAAGAACCAAATCATCTCAAACCAAAGGTAAGAAACTAGTAACAAACTTCACCATCACATTCATTTCCCACCTTCCTACCCACCTTCTCAGCTTCCTTTCCTCTTTCAAGTGCGCAGCTCTGACAGGTTCAGGCTGTAAACTAGTGTGAATCCGTGTGGCAATGGAGATTGACAGGTTCAAGTCCAATTGCCACACCCCAACTTCTGTTCATCCTCCTCCATCGCCAAATCGTACTTCTTTATCTATCTTTACTAACCGCACCTTTACCACCGCCTTCAATTCCATACGGCTGGCATCCTTATTACCAGGAACCTCTACCTCTTCAACCAATGCCTAAACCTCGATCTCCTAGACGAACTCTGCCTTCCAAGCCTTACTCCAAGCCTCCTAAACGAACACCACACCTTCCTGAAAAGTTTAAGCCCCAGAAACCTGGGCATCAATTTGACAACTGCTACAACATCAACTCTAGAGTCGATCAATATGTCCGTCAGATGCTCTTTGAAGTCAAGGCCGAAGTAATTGACTACGATCTCGCAGTTGCCAATTTCCTATTCGAAACCAGCCATCTGGCCCTTCCTGACATACCACGTTCTGTAGAAATAGTGCTGAACGATTTCGATGTTCTCTTTCCACTGGTCAGTCGCGATCACGACGTCCTGACTTGTGCTCTTCAAATTCAATCAACTCTCAACCTTCATCGCCAAAACCCTTCAACAACCACCAAACCGTTCGCCCTCCTCTTTCCAAACATCAATTCTTTGAAGAAGCTTATATCTGAAAGGTCCAAATCACCGAGAGTTTTAGAATCTGAAAAGGCTATTGTTCTGGTGGATTTGGAAGGACGATTTTTGGCTATGGGGCTTCCTCCTAGTCCTAAGTACAAGGTAAAGATCGATTCACAACAAACTGCCTGGTGAACCCCACATTCTGACTGAAACTACGATCTGCACCACAGAAACAGACCGAGAATCAAAAGTCTTGCCCACACAAGCCTGACAACCATTTACCCAAAGCTGATGATGATTCGCCTGAGGTATGTAGGCCTATATTTCTTTATTCTCTCTTTGTTCATTGTTTTGAGGAATTAGTAAGTAATGATACTTTGTTCCACACCTTCAGCAAAGAGCTCTCAACGCTCTGGAGGGATCTGCCTGCTTACACCATCTCCATCGGTTCATTGGCCCTATGCCAGAATCAGTCGCTCGGCCTTTGCCTCCCGAAAATAATACTGGTTCCTATGGTGGAAAATTTGTTCACCATTATCGACATTCCAAGCTTTCCAATCACTCAGTCCCCGTGTAAGGACTTCGAATGTCCTCACTGAAGGAAAAGGGCAAGGCGGAAGGAAGGAGAAGTTATTGTATAACTTCTAAGGCGCGAGGGCAATCAACACCACAAAGTGGTGGAAGAGTTTTCTAGAACCGAAGTATTATATTTATAAATACGAAAACTGACTCCAAAGAGACAATGACAAGTGATCAGTCAAAGATCCTTGAGTAGTGAAAAGATAGATTAAAAGAAAAATACAAATAAAGACGTACCTGACTCCAAAGAGACAATGACAAGTGATCAGTCAAAGATCCTTAAGGAGTCAGGTTGAGGTGGCGTCTAGGAACAAGAGATATAGAAGATTTAGGTCTTAAGTCTAAGTATGTTAAGTAGTAATGAACTTCTGTAATAATGAGTGACATGAGTTATTACATTCTCCCCTCCTATAAAAAGAAAAAGAGAAAAAAAAAAAAGAAGAAGAAAAAAAACAAGAGAAAAAGAAAGAGACAAGCCAAGAGAATTAAGTGTAAGCTAAACCAGAACCATTATGAGAAACAGAGAGAGAAAAAGGTTTCGAGAAACTAAAATGATAAAATTGAAACAGAAAAGGAGAAAATTGAAACAGAAAATGAAAATAAAACAGAAAGAGAAACTGAGAAAAGAATGAGTAAGAAAGAAGGATAGAGGAAAGTCAAAACCGTGAAGGTGTCCCGTCGTGGCCCGCCGTGTCTGTAAGGTAAAGCAGGCGGTGGTTTTTCGCTCACAGTGTGGCCATGGTTTTGTTTTCAAATTGATGGTAGTAGACTACCTCGGCGGTGCATACGAGTGGAGGGGACTTACTTTTACCCCTGACACTCTTACTAAACCGCCCACTCGTCGTCTCCAACGAAGACCTTAAGTTTTGAGACGTTGAAGGTCCTGTGTCGCTTATCGCCGACAGGTAGGTCCAACTCGCAGCTTTGCCCGCCGTTGAAGACTTGAATCACCTTGTAGGGACCCTCGAACCGCTCTTTCAGCTTATCGACACCACCAGAGTGCCGACCTCGCCAATCGCCTGAGTCAAGGAGGACCCAGGATCCCTCGGTAAGCTGGACGTCTCGGTGGCGCTTGTTATGTTGAACTGCCTGCTGGACCCTGCTCGTCCAGAGTTGGTCACGAGCTTGAGCCCACACCTCTTCCCGTTGCTTGATCCAGGTCTCAACTGAGGTAGGTTGGTTGTCGAGAGCGGGTTTGGTAGGGAACAAGCGGTTCTTACCACCAAAGACGAGCTCGTACGGGGGAAAACCTGTAGCGACGTTAACGGCCCCGTTTATCGCAAATTCGACGGATGGCAAAGATTCCAGCCACTTCGTCTGCCGTTTCGCGGTAAAGGAGCGTAGAATCTGGCCGACCGTCTTGTTTGTACGCTCGCTCCGTCCGTCTGCTTGAGGATGGAATGCAGCTGACATATGGAAGCCCGTGTTTGTCCGAATCATCAATGCTTTCCAGAACTTCGAAGTCCAAGCCTTATCGCGGTCGCTAATGATCGACGAAGGAGCTCCAAAGATGCTGTGCCACGATGCGAAAAGTCGAGAGGCTGTTTTCTCGGCAGTGTCTTTTTGGTTGGTTGGAATCAAGCGCGTGAAACCTGAGAGCCTGCATGTGACTGTGAGCAACATATCGTAGTTATTGATCTTCGGCAGGGGTCCTACGAAATCAATGGCGATGTCGGTGACTGGCTGAAACGGGAAATGTGGGGTCTTCATGTGTCCATTCGGTAATGTAGTGCGAGCTTTTGTCTTCTGGCAGGTTTCGCAGCCTTGCACAAAGGCCTCCGTCTCTTTGGCCATCTTTGGCCAGAAGAAGTCCTTCCTAAGATTACTGATCGTCTTCTTGAAGCCCAGGTGGCCTAGTCGGCGGTGTGCTTCAAGGATGAGATTGGCTCGAAGGCTTTTGTCGTTTGGGATCACTAGCCGTCCGTCGATGAAAAGAAGACCGTCGACCTCAGCACTATCGTCTCGTAGGGGTAGAACTTTTCGTAGATCTTGACAGAAGGGGTCGGAAGAGTAACCGCTAAGGATTGAGGATCGGATGTCCTTAGAGATAGTTGGTTGGGTCAGGATGAGGGCTGAGATCGTCTCTATACCGACGTTGAACTCATCCGGCTCGGCGCCGTCTTTGCGAGAAAGTGCATCGGCTACTGAGTTGTCAGGACCCTTCACATATTTGAAGTCGAGGTCAAAATCGGCCAGGTGTTCTAGCCATCGAGCTTGCCGTCTACTGAGGGTCCGCTGTTTCAGAAGATACGTCAGGGAGTGGTGGTCACTCATGACATTAATCTTCATTCCCAATAGGAGCATACGCCATTTTTGCAAAGCGTGTATCACGGCCAGAAGTTCCTGTTCGTGTACAGGATAATTTCGTTCTGCGCTAGACATCTGCCGTGACTCGTAGGCAACCGGATTAGCCGTTTCCCACGCTGCTCCTTGAAATAAAGCTGCACCTAATCCCAATCCACTCGCGTCCGTGAACAACCACAGAGGATCCTTGGATTCGTAGTCGATGTTCTTCAAACAAGGTAGAGAGGTCATGATCTTCTTGATGTTGTTAAAGGCTGTCTCCTCCAAGTCTCCCCATTTGAAGTTTTTAGCATCAAGCTTACTACTGGTTAGTGGAGTTAAGGATCCCACGTACTTCTCAAGACCCCGGATAAATTTCTTCATCCATTGGACCGTGCCTAGGAATTTTTTCACTCCTCGCGGTGATTTCGGGGATGGCCAGTTGAGGATCTTTTCTACCTTTTCGCCGTCTGGTCGTACCCCTTCCGCAGAGATGTAGTGTCCGAGGAATTTGATTTCCTTCCGGAAGAGCTTGGTTTTCTTGCTGCTGCAGTACAGATTGGCCTTCCGAAGGCGATCCATGACAAGGCGCGTGTGTAACCGATGTTCTTCGACAGAGTTGGAGAAAACTACAATGTCGTCGAGATAAACCACGCAGACAACGTTCAGTAGATCCCCTAATGCTTCTTCCAGTCTACTCTGGTGTGTAGCTGGTGCGTTCGTAAGGCCCATAGGCATCACAACCCATTCGACTAATCCCCACGGAGTCTTAACTGCCGTCAACGGGATGTCAGCTTCGCGCATTCTGGTTTGAAAAAATGCATTGGTCTGGTCAAGTATTGAAAAAACTTTACCACCAGCCACCAGCCTGACCAACTCATCAACGTTTGGCAACGGAGATCTGTCCCTTACGGTCAGGCTGTTCAAGGTGCGGTAATCGCATACCCACCTTGGAAGTTCACTAGGGTCCTTCTTGGGGATGATAAGGCTCGGTGAGGCATATTGACTCGTAGATCTTCGTATTCTTCCTGCTGCTAAGTGTTGATTGACAAGTTTTCGCCAAGCGTCCATATGTTTTCTCGGGTAAGGATATTGTTTCTCATTGATGACGGCGTTGGGGTCGGTTAAAACAATGCGGTGTCGGACCTTTGATGACGGGTCCTGCATCTTTTCAGGGAAGGAACCATCAGTGAAATCCCCACGCTCTTCCGCTTCATCTGAAACCGCTGGGATGTCAATAGGGAAAATGTCTTGATAATCCAGGAGTAATTCTTTCTCCCACTTCACCCATTGTGCGCTTCTTTCAGGTTCATTTTGATGGGACAGGCCAGCTACCCAGTTCTTCCACGTGATGGCTTCACTCTGCGCGCGCTCTCTCTCGACTCTATTCTCTGTGTCGGAACGCTCCTTCTTCAATTTATCTTCGAGATCTAATTTCAATTTCAGCACTAGACGATAATCAAAAATTTTTAAGGAGGATGTTTCACTAAGTACACAGTTTCTGGAGCATGAAATAGCAAGTTGATGTCTAGCCAAGAATGGTGCGCCTAGAATCACATCATATGATGAACCCAAGTCTCCTAATTTCATACATGTGCGGTCGAAGATAGTTCCTGAATCCGTGTGTGATAAACTTTCCACAACGAAATCCGTCAGTACAGGTCTTGCTCCAGACGAATCAAGGGCGAGACCTACGATTGTTGGCTTGACAAGTTTGCGTCGGTGAAGCTTAAGAAGATCGGCTAAACGGTTTGACATGAGATTCGTTTCGGATCCCGCGTCTGCTAGTGCGCGAATGGTTGTCCCCCTGCATGTCAACTCGATGATCACAGTTGGTCTGTTATTAGGTTGTGGTACGTACTCTTTCGATGAACCTTCACCTGTCACAGCTACCTGATCATCCGAGTCGTCATCAGCAGATTGGAAATCTTCACGGACGAGTTCGTCGATAGCGTTGAATGCTGCGACACTGGCTGAGTCTAATTCTGGGAAGGTGGGTGCCGTGAAGGGGTTATTGTCTGTGTTGATTACTGAGGTTGCGGCAACTGAAGTGCGTGAGGGTCGACCGGCTGGGGGGTGGGTTGGTTGGCCTGCCTGGTTAGACGAAAGTTTGGCTCGCGGTGGTTTGTAGTTAGCCGGCTTTGGTGGGGCTACGTAGTTCGGTGGGAAAACGATTCTCGAACGGTCCGGAGTTCCAGTGCAAGCCCCGTGTTCGCTGCCACATTGACGTTTGCAATAGTGACACAGGCCTTTAGAGTCGAGAAAGGAATGAATCTTCCATATGAAATCCGTGGTAGAGACTCGGGACGAGAAGTTGGATCGAGTTTGAGTCGACGGAGGGCGTGCTACGGTACTGTTTGGTTTGCGTGCCAGTAACCCCTTGTCTTTCAGACTAGCATACAGGTCGTCGCAGTCTGCCTCAAAGTCATTGTAATCGAACTCGGCCACTCGTAGTAACTTCCACATTCGGACTTCGCTTTTCAGAACAGGAACCATTCCAAAGCACAAGAGCCTAGCGAACTCAAGATCATCAACGCAGATCACGTCGTAATTCACCAGGGACTGGATGGAGCGTCCTCGCGTACTGTAGGATCGGAAATCCTCGAATTCACCCATTTGTAGGTGTTGAAGTTGTTCGGTAAGACGATCTTGCCAATCTGCCGGTAATGCTGCTCGGAATAGATGATCTTTAAAGTCTTCCCAAGATCCCTGGATGAAGGAGTCGAAACCATTTGACCAAAAAGCTTGTAAGTTGGGTTCCACAAGAAAAGTCCCCACTAGAGCGATGCGATCGTGATCGGTAGTAACCCCTTTCACGAAGAAAAAAATCTTCAGAGTCGCTGCCCACCGTAGAAAGGGTTCGATTTGTCTGAAGGGACCTTTGAAGGCTGGCCCGTCGGAAGTTTTGAATTTCGTAAGATCAATGCTTGTTGATCGTTGGTCGACACTGGGCTTAGATTCCTGTTGGGTCTGGTTCTCTAACCGTAGCGTCAAGAGCTCCTCTTCTAGTTTCGCCATTCGCTGCGCTGCTTCGTTGGCGGCTCGTAGGCCGTCGCGTTGGTATAGTAAGATTTCTCGCTGCAGTTCCTCGTTTGTCGGAGGTGCTGAGGCTGTAGACTCGCTGTTCCCGTGCATTTCGTCTGAGCTTGAAGGTACCGGCTCAGCAATCGTGTGCGTAGGATGAGTAGGTTCGATAAAGGTCGGCGCCTCGTGTGAGGTAGGGTTTGAGCGAAGATTGTGGTGAAAGGGTGTGGTAGGAAAGTTTCCCGGGATATGCGGGGTTAAGGGAGGATGTTCAAGAGAAGAACGAGGGGTCGATGATGGCGATAATGACCCTACTGGCGTAGCTGCAAGAGGGGCGGAGTTAGAGGGTAGAGAAGCAGAAGATGGGGCAACGTAATAGCCTCCACGATAGTTTCCAGCTCCCGGATTCCTAAGGTGTGGCCTAGGAGCTCTGAGAATTGCGTCGGGATCGAATACTTGATTGACAAGAGTATTCCCCGCTGCTCTCGTAGTACGTCGTGTATCGTCGTTCTCCGCTCTCTGCATTCGATGATGAAGGATAATTATAGATCTGCAGGTGTGTATGAAAGGTTTTAACCGTAGTAAGAGATCTGGAAGGCTTGAAGGATTGAGTCTGACTGTAATGTAAGGTTCGTAAGATATAATAATGTGTATCGATTGAATAGAATCGACAACGTTGGGAGGAATCGACAAGGTTAGAAGGTGGTCGATTATCCAGAATACTTCGAAAGGTTCGAGAAAAAAAAAGTGTAAGGACTTCGAATGTCCTCACTGAAGGAAAAGGGCAAGGCGGAAGGAAGGAGAAGTTATTGTATAACTTCTAAGGCGCGAGGGCAATCAACACCACAAAGTGGTGGAAGAGTTTTCTAGAACCGAAGTATTATATTTATAAATACGAAAACTGACTCCAAAGAGACAATGACAAGTGATCAGTCAAAGATCCTTGAGTAGTGAAAAGATAGATTAAAAGAAAAATACAAATAAAGACGTACCTGACTCCAAAGAGACAATGACAAGTGATCAGTCAAAGATCCTTAAGGAGTCAGGTTGAGGTGGCGTCTAGGAACAAGAGATATAGAAGATTTAGGTCTTAAGTCTAAGTATGTTAAGTAGTAATGAACTTCTGTAATAATGAGTGACATGAGTTATTACACCCCGTTCCTGGTGCCCTTCATGGCCATCTCGCATACGAGTCTATCGGATACGCATTGGGATCTGTGAGTTACTTGTTTGTCTTGCTTGTGTAGGCGATTGTTGGAGTGACTGCTACCACATTGTGTTGGCTGCAGCCCAATGCCCGTCCTGATAGAAAAATACAACTAGGTTTTGATCGCCAAGGCTACAACCTTGATGATCTTGGTGACTGGCCCACATCGGACAGTCACCTCCCTGTAGCTATGGGCCTTGGAGAAGAATCTCTTTTCATGCACACTGACAATGCACACCGCCTACAAGAATTACACTGGGCTTACGAAGTCTCCCGGGTTGTGAATGCCTCAGTACAGCCTGAAACGTACAAAATCGCCGAGGATGTAGTGAAATTTGTGGCCAAAAACTCTGGACCATTTGTGTCTGAGCGGCTTGAGAGGTCGCACAATCGCATCATTCATGGTGAGTTGACTGTGTAATTTTGATGTATCCCCACTTGTCCCTCGAATCAGCTGATATAAGTTGAATTGTGATGTGCTGTCTCAAACACATCCTCAGGTCAGCATGTCAACCATAACAACCAGGTCGCCCCGCACAGGGATGGAAAGAATTGCAACTTAATCGACTCTGTCTTTGCTTATGGAAGGGACTACGCCGGGGGACGCTGGCTTTTTGCATCACTTGGTGTAAGCTTGTGCACTGATCCAGGTTACTCGGTCCATGCGTTTTTCAAGTACCTTGATCATGCAGTTGATACTATCCTACCCACATCGGAAAAACCCCCACTGCGGATATCCCTTGCCCTATACTCGCATGCTGATGTTTATTCGGGACCTGCTAGAGTTGCCGGAGCAAGAGTTGGAAAATACAATGATTCCTCCAAGTGGCTTCCTTTCCCCTCTCCAAACTTTTCCATTGACATATGTCGCAAGATCTTGAGAAAGGAGGAGAACCAA